TCTCTCTCTCTCTCTCTCTCTCTCTCTCTCTCTCTCTCTCTCTCTCTCTCTGTTGCACGTCCTCAAATAAATAGGGGTATTAGCTGTTTATTTTCGGTTGCAGGTTTGTGTAGTTTTAATTATTTTTCAAAGGTGAAGTTTCACGTACTGCTTCACTTGATTTAAGTCCCTCCAGGTCACTTCAATGGACAGAAAAAACAAACCCAAGAAGCACGAAAAACAATCGTCCTCCCACTCACAATCGGATCATAGTGCACTGTAGCTATCGATTCATGTATTTCCAGCTTTGAGTGAGTCATTTTCATGAGTTGCAAACAGCGCTTATTTCATTTAGTATAACGGTATAGCTGCTGAAAAGTAAATTTCCACTTTCCCTGAAAGGAAGAGTCAAAGCAGCCCGCCTTCTAAACATTCTATATTGTTCCACAGGGGGCGGAAATCACTGGCTATCGGCAGAAAAAGGAAAACATAAGCAGATTATATGAAGAATTTCTGGCTCGCATTTGGTTTCACGCTATAAACAATTTTAGAGGACTTTGAGAAACCTTAATTTATTTTTTTAAATACACATAATACTATCGTTGTCTCTCGGCACTTATATGATCTACTTGTGTTCTAAGCGCCGTAAGACTCTAACTGAAACGAAACAAGCATCTTTCACACTACCACAACTAGCACTGCAACTACCACAGCAGCAACTCCTTATACTTTTCCTTTTCCATGTCGTATAGACGTTTATACTGGTTCCCTTACATTTTTCTACTGGTTTATAGGGGACATTTTCGAAGAAGTAATGATGACTTGCTCTGTTGTTTATTCTTAGGTTAAAAAAAAAGATGCCCGACTTTATTCAAATCTCTCTTTTATGAAGATTTTATCTTTTCTATACAGACGATGATGTAAACTTCTGAGCAATGAAGGCATTCACCTATACTACCACATTTACGACAGCCAGTACCCATCCCCCCTCCCCAAATCACTACTGCATTCATTGCAAACTCAACCATTATTATCAATAACGATCTCATGGGAATACGTTCGTGATTAATTTGTATTAACCTTTTCCCTTTAATAATGCATCCCTCGTCCAGTCACCAACGGTATTAACATAACCCCCCTCGAATCGGCAACGCGCACCAACCCCTTTCCCTCAATCGAACATTACCCCCCCCCTTTTTTTTTTACCTCGACTTTAACACTTACCTTCTAGAGTCCCTCTTTCACGGGTTTTCTCAATTCGAAGCTTCCCTGTTTTATGACCGGCATCCTTTCAAGGGGTTGCACCCGGTGAAGCAAAGAGGCATTTGGATTAGATTCTGAAAAAAATCGATAAAACATCTACGTTCAAGTTGAAGGAGCTGGTAGGGAAGGAGATTGATTACGAATAATTCAGATGGTATTTTCTACCCTCTATTACACTATTGTCTAGATGTAACAGTATTTCAAAAGCGTAAGATTCTATCGAATTAAGTTAGGTGTTAAAAGCTTAGATTGAATTATCGATTGTAATTAATTGCATCGCTCACCAAAAGAGAAGTACCGTTAGTGAGAGCGAGTGGAGACTATTCTTAATTAAGACTGAAGTCTCTGATCTGAACAGATTTTGGCTTTGGCTGTTGGCAGAAAGGAGCCATTGTTCTTCGGCACTAAATGGAACCATAAGTTGCCTGACCGAAGTCGTGGCAAGCCAAGTATGTCAGTCTCACTTTCTCTAGTTGATGAAGTGTAAGTGAAATGGCAAGGCACGACAGTGGAATGCTTAAACATATTTGGCACGGCACGGTGAAATCAGGCGCTCGTCAATTTTGGGGCATATGGAGCTATTGGAATCATCTTAAAGATTGTTGATTTTTCTTGCTTCTATTGGAAAAAAAATATAGTTTTCAGTAAAAGACGTCACCGAAAGTTTGAGTGTATTTTGGAAACTGCAAATTTAGATTTTTTGGTGCCTTTTGTTCAATGCTTTTCAGCACAATCTTAACAGAAATGTTTTGTTTTTTTAATAGTCCCAAAAGGCGTTGAGCCTAACATTTAAAACATTTGAATAAATAAATAACAATTTCCCAAGGGGAAAAAATGTCAGTTTCTTTGAACTCATTATTTTGACGAGCGCTTGATTTTATAATGATGCCACGCATTATTAATTGGGCTTCCAAAAAACATTGAACTGTCTGCAAAGGTCAACTGTTTCGTGGGCAATTAATTCTTTACACTACACCGCCTAAGTATATCACAAGTTCTATCTGACATTTTTGGCTGTTTTGAGTTACTAAGATCATGAGATCAGAAACTAAATGGTGTATCTGCTCTATCAAAGCCGTAAGATTAGTCGAAGTCGTTATCAAGATATTCAAAAGAATTGCCGTTGAAAAAGCTTAACATATTGTGAAACTCAGAATCTTTGACGCAATTTTCTCAAAGCTAGGTACTGAGCGAAAAGAACTTTGTAATTCTGAGGTAACGGCTAGGTGACGACATACATCACTATACAGTGCCCTTGACAGGCCCGAGGAAAGGTCGAGAGCTGCCACAGGTCTTTGCTGTTTGTTGACAGTTTCGGTTGAAACAACTGACCTTTGCTGATACTTTGAGCAAAAAATATATTGGAGAGGTCTGTGATCTTATGGAGCTGAAAATGTATTTGGTAGTTTGCTATCCTGCCCCGGGTTGACCTTGACAAGGGAGGGGCGCATAGCTCGCGGAGACTGCGCCCAAAGTGGAAAGACAGGTATTCACACATTTTTCTGGAGTGTGGTCTTGCATTTGCGCCTGTCGCTGCTTTTTTATTGTTGCAATATTCTCTTTGTTTCCGGGGTCTTCACTAACTTGGAATTTAAGCAAAGGTTGCTTAAATGCATGATGTCAACATATGCAACGCCAGATGCAGAAAGCGCAGATAAGTAAGAGAGGGAGAGAGAGAGAGAGAGAGAGAGAGAGAGAGAGAGAGAGAGAGAGAGAGAGAGAGAGAGAGAGAGAGAGAAAGAGAGATGAAGAGAGAGCAAGATAGAGGGAGAGAAGGAGACAGAGAGAGACGGCCGTAAGAAGAACAGGAGAGATGGAGAGCGGCAAATGAGCTGATGAAGAGATGAACAGAGAAAATGTATGTTGGATTAGATTGAAAGTTATTGCGGATTATTATGCTTTTTGGGGGGACCGTGAGTATCATGAGTAATTATTCATTTTGGTTTCGATTGTTCTCGCATTTGTGCGTACTGAAAGAAGAAATCAATCACTAAAATTTCCCCATGGAGCAAGGTTTAAAAAGAAAGCTACCACGCACTCTATACCAAACAAAATAATTATTGTGCAACATTATATCATTCATTCAATACCAAACGAAGTAGTGAAAACATATATCATTCATTCAACATCAAACATTAAAAAATATTTTATATATATCACGCGTTTAATATCCAGTGAAGTAATTGAACAGATCATTCCTTTAATACCTAACAAAAATGGTGTTACATACACTTTCAGTGGAACGAAAATCCGCACAAGAAACAAAACAGAAATGATAAAAGAAAGACGACTGCAGATGCGATTATTCTGCTTGCTTTTGTTGCTGTTGCTGTTTTGTTCGTCTCTAAACAGAAAAAGCAAGACAAAGAGTAAACTGAGCTGTGAATGTGCCAAACCCACGCAAATCTATCTCGTCCAGACAACGTTGGCGAAACAGGACTCGAAATTGCAGGAATGAGAAGAATCGAAAGGGACGGAACAATTGCCTCCCGTCAACTCAAGACTTTCGTTTTACGCCATGATGCGTCGATATAACGGGAACTGATCGGGAAATTTCATCAACGTCATCGAGGAAATCTTTTGTTCTCAGTCAGTGCCAACAATATGTTGCCGCTATCTGATCGGTTTCCATTTCTGTCGCCTGTCCATTGTTGGCGGCCTCGGTCTAGCTGCAGCTATACGGTTACTCTAAATTGTTCAGATGGACCTGACATCATGGTCAAATTATTGGCAGGTCGTTGGGAGTTGAGATTGGGGGTGGCGGGGGGGGGGGGGGGGTTTTAGGGGGAGAAAGAGAAAAAAGGGGGGGGGGGGAAAGGGGAGGGACCGACTGGCTTGGAGAAATGGATGGCATATTATAGGTGGAAGATGGGGTTGGGTGGGGGGGGGGGGTCGACTACCTTGGAGAAAATGGATGGCTTATTATAGATGGATGGTGGGGCTGGGTGGTGTGAATGGGGCGTGGGGGAATCGACTAGCATGAAGAAAATGGATAGCATAGGCCTATTATTGGAGGAAGGTGGATGCTGGGTAAGGGAGGAAGGGGTGGGGACTGAAGGGAGAGACGGGAGAATAGGAAAAGGCAAAGAAAGAAGGAAAGGGGCCATGGGGGACAAGGCAAGATGGGGGGTGTCAAGTTGGGAGAAAAGGGAAGACCTAGAGGTGAAGGATGTGGGTGGTTGAAGTGGAGTGAGAGATGGGAAAGAAGGAAAGGTAAGAAGAAATGAAAGTGTTCGGCTCGGGTGGGGGGCAGTTTGACTTCATTCCGAGTCTGCAACGCAAGGTAGAACCAGCGAACAAACAAGGCCAAATAACACAAGCAACAAACGCCAACAACGGCAACAACAACAAGAACAATAACAAGAAAACCAACGACAAAAGAACGAAGTACAACCCCAACTAACAATAATCATCAACAAGCAGTCTTCAATTTTTTTTAGCTAGCTGTAGGTATCACCCCCACCACCCATCAAAGAATAAATAAATACATTTTAAAAAATAAAATAAATAAAATTTCGAACTTAAGAAATAATAATAATATTGTTCTCCGTTAATTCCTACAGAATATTCCAGTGGCTGGCGGGCGACAGATCCTGTCTTAAGTGTTCGGTGATCGATGAAGCTGTCCAAAGCGATCTGCTTCACGTCGAATTATGTACGGTTTCCATTGTGTAGTTAAGGGGAAGGAAGGGAGGGAGGGAGGGGTGGGTGGGAGTTGGGAGAAGGGGTTGGGGGTAGGGGTGTGGGGAGAGGTAGTTGCCCGACTAATCAGGTTAGCGTGATCAGACTGGTGAAGAAAAATCTAACTGGTGAAGGTATAAAATTAATTTTAAACGGAATGCTGCAAGACAGAATTTTGACCCTTGAAGCAGTAAAATATCCACCCACTCCCCTTCCTCCCCCTCCCATCTCCCACGTCTATTCCGCACTCTATCTCCCTCATCACCATAATAATATTGTTGTCACTTATAGTGCAAATAAGAGTAAACGTAGATTGACTGAACTTATGTCTCTGAGACACAAGGGATGCGACATCGACCCCACGTAAGTGATTAAAGCGTTCGTATAATGATCGATTCAATTGGCTGCAACTGTGTACTGACGTAGTTTAGCATTTCCTGTACGTTTCCCTGAAGACATGTTATTCCCCTAACTGGACGCTAGCGTAGAGTCAAATGGCTCTATTTGCGTTATGCAATAGGAAAGTATTTGAAATGGAATTGTTTTGCTTTGAACCCCCAAAAGGGTCGGCGTCCTGTCTATTTAGATTACGCTCGCGTCAAGGGAAGCCGAGAGATCTGCCGCTATGGCTGACGGCTGGATCTGGGGTGTAAGCCCATCTTTTCTAATGAACCGGATTTTCGATGGACGCCTTTGGAGCTGACCAGTTTGATGCAGCTAGCTATCTAGTTTAAGAAACAGCTCGTAATATGAAAATTCAGAAAATCCATGATGTTTATATAGATCAATTCAATAAACCTTTTTCACACAAAACGTCTCTCCAAATAAAGTTAAAAACAAAATTAATGAAATGCACGACTAGCTTATTACCTAGTGATCCTTTTATTTTTTAGAGAGAGATTAACTGGCTGATCGGATTTTTGCTTTCGATTTTTCACAGCTCTTGTATTGTGCATTCCTGGGAAACATAGCTAGGGAATCGTCTTATGTCTAGGAACAAAGGGAACGCTGCTTCCTGTTTGGTTGGCTTGAGAAAGCCCCTGAAATAGCCTGGTTATCTCCCTTATTACCTTGTCTGCGTCTCTTCCCTCATTTGTGTTACCTAAGCATGTGCATGTACAAGTGTATGTCGTGCTTGTAAGTGTGTGCGTGCGTGCGTGCGCGCGCGCGCGCGTGTGTGTGTGTGTGTGTGTGTGTGTATGTATGGGTGTGCACATGTATGTAATAATACGTATGAGTTTGTGAATGTGTATGTATTTTGTTTGTCTTTTTATTTGTTTGAATGTGTGTATGAGCATGTGTA